TGGCACGGTGACTAACAGACACAGAGGGCAAGAATCCCTTCTTTCACTCTGAGACAAATCTCTTCTCTGGAAAACTTTGGTTGGCAAAGGTCACATACTTGTCAGCCTTTATCTATAGCTCTGCTCCTGCATTTTCACCCTCTTTCAGAGGTTTGCTTTTAGAAGTAGCTATTCCTCATAACCAAAATCCCAATTCTACAACAGTCAGTACAGAAGTGGACTCTACTCCCACACACATCGCTACTGCTGGGAAAAATAAGGAGTATAGCTTGTGCGACTGGACTCCTTTTTGGCACGGGTTGACCTATTTCAAGCTCGAGCAACTTCGCTGAGAGACAGAAGTCAGGGTCTCACGAATTCTCTCTCAAAATCAGAAATCTCTCTCTGTGCACAACAGACTTGGGGACAAAAGCGGATCACATCCTAGACGTGAGTTTTATCTTACAGCATATCCTCACGTGCCTTTTTCATAAAATACTGCCATATTAAGATGTAAGTGAAAGTCACGGTGAAGGAAACTATATTTAGAAACAAGGAACATGCCAAGTTGCATTACTTTTCATGTATTTTGATTACTCTGTGAACTATTGGAATGTCTCTGCCTTCAACTTTAAAAACAACTATTTCACCAGCTCTGATTGGGTCATCATGGAAATTTGTTAAGAACAACAGGTCTCCCCTGTGAAAAGCTGGTTCCATGCTGCCACTACAAACAAAAAGAAAGAGAGAGTTTATTAGCATTATGGTAAATGAAAGAAGAACCATGAAAACAAATAGCATTTAATTCCTGCAACTAATTATTCTCACAACTAAAAACATTAGCGCACAATTCCCATTAAAATACTGCTATTTACTGCACAGTTCCTCGCTGACACACATTCAGTTTCTAAAAGGCTGAATCTTCCATGGACGTGTACTTAACTCCATGTATTTGATCAGCACTCGGCACCCTGCTGGACTGGCTCATTGTAACCACACACCCATTGCTTCTACAAACATCCATGAAAATGAGACTGCAATTTCGGAAGCAGCCTTTGCTAAGTGTCCAAAAGCAGCGTTAGACGAAAATCAGGGTTTGAGAACTTCTTTGAGTAGGTGAGATTTCAAACTCCAAAACTATCCAAGGCGGAAGAGAAGGAGACAAAGGACAAAGCATTTAGACTTTAACAAAAAAGTCTTCATATTGACTTACCTGAGCACCACAACAATAGGGCTTTCACTTCCAGTAATGACGATCAGCCCTTTCCATATCATCAGGGCAGAAGACACTATCATAGCAAAATTTAAGACTTGGTAATACAGCTATATGGAACAAGAAAATGGTTTTTCGAAGTTACTGCGTTGTATTTAGAAGCACAACATAGAATCTCAGACCAAATACAACACTGAATCACAGTCCAGGCACATGGTCTTTTAAGTCAACAGAACTCATGGAGCAGACTGCCGTACTGGCAATCCAATCACACAAACTACACTGCAGCATAAAGTTTAATCCTTTAAGTGCCTCAGTCTTGGCTTGTTACACCTGTGCAACACTCATCTGTCAGTGCTAGAAGCCAGCGAACTCACTAGCAAAGACTTCTAAAATACAGGAAGCTATGCAGCAAATGATCAAATCTGTTTAAAAAGAGCTGTTGGAGTAGAAAAGAGATGATAAAGGATAAGTTATTGCTTTTGTCAGGCAGAAATTTCTCATGTGAAAAGTCTTTATCGACTTGACTAACTTTCTGCCCCAGAATTCTACTGCTTTCCCAGACATTACAGCAGTAGATGCTTCCTTCCTACTATTTTTTAAAATTTATTTTTCTCGGCAACCTACAAAGACGCTCTGGTGGGAAACGGCCCTGCCCATCGCCATTTACCCCGCGGCTCACTGATGTAAACGCGGAACCGGAGACTCCCAGACCGCCGGCCCCAGTCTGGAGACAGGGCTTCTCTCCAAGGCGCACCTCGACCACGGGCCCCCCGCCCCGTACCTGCCGCTTGTT